TACAGCAGTTGACAATCTAAAGCCCACAAAGACATTGTGGTTTTTATTCTTCCCTAGGTGCAGTACCTTGCAATTATTTCCTTGGACTTCATCTTGTCATTTCTAGCCCAGCTTCCCAGTGTTTCCAAATCATCAGAATTCTATTCTTAACCTCATAATTGATTGCAGCTGTCCCAGTTTCACATCGTCTGGATATTTGCCTGTATAGGCTGTCATCCAAATTAAGTAAACTAAATTCTACAATTTTTCATCAACTTGCAATTAAGAAGATTTATTTTAGGTGGCGCAAAGAAGGTAAGATTGATGCGTGAAATATTACTTTTCCATTTCAAGATTGTTAACACAAAATGACCCAAGGTAAGTGTCATTGTCCTTACAATGCTACAGAATTTAGCCACCAAACTTCATTTTTATAAGCAGGTTGCATGCTATAGTATGAAAACAATAATTTCATGAGTCAATTATCAAAGAAACATAAAAGTGAAGCAAAGTCATGAAAGAGAGATAAACACATTGTTCTTGGGCTGGATCAGCCTTTGGCGTGGTTACCTCAAGGCGGCTTGGATCTCCTTTTTCCTCTTGCTGTAGATGACTAGATTCATCAATGGAGGCAGTTGCCAGGATATCCAGAGGGGATGGGGAGTCAGAGATGGGCTTCATGTAGGGAATGAGGGCAGTGGAAAGAAACAGGGAGACCACAATAAGGTGAGGAATGGTGGTGGGGAAGGCTTTCTGAGAGCCCTGATCAGAGGGGATTCTCAACATTGCAGTGAAGATCTGAACTTGCCGGTTCCAGGGAACTGCTCTGCACCCCTGCATCACCTCGGGGAGTAAGGAGACACATGACATGAGGGCTGGGGAGCAGAGCAGTTCCCCAGAGACCAGAGACCGCGCCAGGCCCCGTTCCTATCCCCGCCTCGCTTTGGTGGAGGAGCCGCTGCCTGCCCTGTGTGAGGACTGAGGAACTTGCCTTCAGTAAGTGTCCCATTCTGGCCCCAGTGCCTCCATTCCAGTTCTATCAACTGATTGTGTCCGGGCCATGGCTGGGCCACAGCATCAGTTCTGCCAACTAATTGTGTCTGGCGCATGGCTGCCCCACTGCACTCTACTGTGCTGCTCTGAGCAGCAGTTAGCATGGAGAAGGGTAGTGGGTGGGGCCCACAGTGCTCCACATAGGGCCGAACCCTGCCCACTCCCACCTGGACACTTACTGCGGGGCACTTACCGGCAGACAGCACCAAAGTGGGGAGGTGGGACCGAAGCGATGAACTCATGGAGCACTACTCCTTAGAGGGAACGTTGGACTGTAGTTCCCAAAGTCACTTCTGGAGCCTTTATGAAGTTAGGTGTTTTGTTGTCAACCTAACGCTCTTCTGGCACAGAGGCCTTTTGTAATGATAGGTGACATGCTATGAACAGCAATCCTGCAGTTTCACATTCGAATTCCTAAATAACTCTCAGGTAAATACTAATTGATCCCAGTCACTTGCTACTGTTTTAATTTACTGATTTGCTTTTAAAACTTCTATACTGTTACTTCAATTGGATCTCTCTTTGGATTTATTTAGAATTGATCTAGCATGGAAATCTCTCTGGTATCTTCTGTAGTAGAAACCAATGCAAATGATTCCTTCAGCTTCTCTGCTATGACTGTACCATCCATGTGTGCACATTTTAAACCTTTGTCCTCTACATACATACATCGTATGTAGGGAAATGTAGGAAGTGTGGGGAACAATGATGATGAGTTGGAAGTCACAGCCTGTGAAAAGAAATCTGACCTGATTGGTATCAAAAAGATTGGTGGGAGCATTCTTTTTGGGAGGCAGGGTTGGAAGAAAAGATGGTGGCTTTGTGTGGTATGTCAAAAACTCATACATTTGTTCCCTGATTCAGAAGGAAGAAGATACAGGTGATTTATTATAGTCCAGCAAGTCAAGAAGAAGTGGATGAGGCTTAATCAACACTATCAAACTTATTGTAAAAAGACTTTAGAACAATGCTATAGACTTAGAAGTGACAAGAAGAGAGGCTACTTGGAAAATTGATTATTTTGTCAAAAGTCATACTGTGCCAACAGATTCAGCTGTA